AATTAAACAACTATGTATTTGTCATCAGGTTTTAATTGTTAGGAAAACAGTCTTGTTTTTGCTCTGTGTTTCTTTCCTCTATTCCTCCTCTGCCATCAGCTGATTCACACACACCTGTTCCTAATTAACAGGAAGTGCTCTTTAGCCACCGCTGTTTTACAAACCAAGTAGATGGATTGGACATGACACCATGAGGCTGCTGCACAGTCCCAGGACCTTTGTTAGCATATAAAGAAAAAACATCTTCATTTTTTTTAAACTAGGAAAGGGCCTGCTGTGAAAATTGTACAATTTGTTTCACAGCTGCGACTCATCTGTTCAGTTTAATGGAGGAGTGCCATTTATTCCTGTCTTCCCTGCGCTTTTCTCCACTTTCACTTGAGACTTATTTCAGGTGGGGGTTAAAATATTCCACAGAGAAATGGGACACTCCTGTGAGAAGCTGATATGTTTTCATTAATTCCATGTATGTGGACTAACAGTCTGTGGTTTATAGCTCATGTGTGTTTTGTAAACAAAATTCAGTCCTGCAGTAAAACTGCAATCATCTCTTTGCCTGGAAGAGCAAAATATTGGAGATAATAACATGCTGTCTTCTCGTTCTTCTGACAACTTACTTTTAAACTAAGAAAAATTGTTTTCTTTTGTTTTGTTTGCTTAGAAGACGTTAAAATATTAAGAAAATTAAGCTAGTGATGGCTGTAAAATATTTCAAACCAAGGTGTATGTTTTTACTGTCTTTTTATACTTGGAATCAGCATGAAAGTAATTATTGTAACATTAGATTAACCTAGAAAATTCTTCTAACGCTGCCCTTTTAGTGAAGAAAGGTCTGTAATGGTTCATGCAAAATGTACATTTCTGCAGAAGCAGCTCAGTTTCTTATTGTCCAGTAAGACCAGCAGATCTGCACAATTTCTTTCTTGTTTTATTCTTTTAAAACATGGTGCAAAATCTTTTTCAGTGTGTCAAAAATACAGCTGTTTTAGGATGCAGGGGACACTCCAGTTCAAAAGCTTCATACCTGTTGAAAAATCAGTCTGGACATATTCTTGGAAGTATGTATATCTGTTTCTTTTTAGATGGTTCAAACCTCACAAAATTGTATTATTATTATTATGAATGTTTCAGGCCACATAGCTTTAACTGACCGACTTGTGTTTAGAGGAAACCTATACATTCGGAGCATTCTGTAGCAGATTTTGGGAATCAAATTGTTTTGTGTGAAAAACCTTACATGTATTACTTTTGTTTCTGAGTTACTTTATTTTTCATAAATACAAAAGTTTCTGTTTAATAAAATGCAATAATTCTCTTTTTGTAATTATGTAATGGATTTCTGTCATAAAAACCCCAGAAATTGAAATGAAATTGTGATTTAATCATCTATCCATTCATTTTCTGCAGCTCCTTATTTCTGCAGAGTTGCAGGGAGGCTGGTGTCTATCTCCAGCAGTCCCTGACCGAGAGACCTTGGACAGATCGCAAAGCCATCCCAGGTGGCATCATATTTATATATATTCTATATAAAATAAGGAAAAATTTTTTTTTTCTTTTTTTTCATTTTTTACATAAACAGTTTTTTTTTTGGGGGGGGGGGAAAGGCTATGTGGGTTTGACAGTTCATAGAAAAAATTATCGGAAGTCTTTGTATTATAAAGCTAATTGACGGCTGATTTAAACATAATTTCTTGAGTTGTTTTCAGTCGTATTTCTATTCAACCTCTTCACTTCTGCAGCTAGATCAGTCAGATGCTCTTGAAAACTATATAGGTTGCTGCTTTCAGCTGGTTATCAAAATGCATGGTTCTTCTCCATATGCCAATGACAGACACATGGCCAGAAACTACTTCTGAAATAGGCTCTCATAGCTGGCACAGCCTTGTAGTGACAGGATGTAGAAGCACAGAACAACCAGATGATTACACCATGGGAGATGGGAAAAGCTGAGCAGGAGCTACCAGTCTACCAGCCTTTATCCTTACATCCATCTGTTTTTTAAAGACTCCATGACCTCCATAACCTTAGTTCATGATTGGCAGCTTTTCACTTCAGTACAAAATAAGGAAAAAGAAATGTGAGTGGTAGCAGGGAAAAAAAGGAAATATATGTGCCTAAGGACAGAGAATAAAGCAAGCAACAACAGGGATGGTATACATAAATGTTTAATCAGTGTGGTTCCCTAAAGAGATACAATTAGGCATGAAGCGATATAATGAGGCTATGCAGGGTTTTGGGTCCAAAAACAGGAAATGTAAGATTGGACTTCTGTTCTGGATTTTGACTACACACCTATTGTATCAGTAAAAGCCTTCATCCTGTTCAGATCCTGCTGTCTGTAGCCGCTATCATAGCATGTTCAAATGAAATGCCTCTGGGAAAATACTTCTAAAAATGAATAACAAATTAATTGTTTCATTTGCAATTTTGACTTTGACATGCTTCAGTTCTTGGCACTACCCAAAAAATGCATCCTTGCTAAATGTCCCAGGTGAATACAGTTAAGAAGTTAGTTTACAGCAAATGTATTTTCATATTTATATTCTACTTTATCTTGATCTTTTGCATGTAAAATCAATTTTGCAAAACACAAAAAGGAATCAAAAAGTGCCAAGAGTTTTTGTTAATTACAAACTACATTTTACTTACTGCTCTGGCTGATTCAATAAGAAGAGAAGTTGTAGCAGATCCTTAGTCAACTATACACCACTCAGAACACATTTTAAAAAATCTAACATTTTCACTGTTTGATGTTCCAGAGAAATGCCAGGAGAACTTCAATATCTGACTCTTCTCCTTTGACTTCATATCCCATCCTGAGCTGAATGCCAGAGTCTGAAGCATTAGCTGCTGCACAGTAAAGGGGAGTGGCATCATGTTGCCGTTCACCACCCATCGTTTGCACTCACTGTACCAGCCGGCAGTCAGAGATCAACCCCACTCTCTGATGGGTGGCTGCTGAGTCACCCTGCTGAGTGGAAAGCCTTAGATTCAAAACATTAGAATGTAAATCACGTTGTCATTTTCTTTTGTAAAGGAATTGCAGCTTAAGATTGCAAGACTCATATTCCCTCCAAAGCTGGAAGACAAGTGTGACTCAGAGACTCAGATATCTCCACATGGCCAGATCCCAGAAGAGGGAAAATACCACCTATTTAAACCGTGACTCATGCCTACAATGTGATCTTCTCCATCAACTTCTCTGTCTGTTGCTGTTTTCATTGCATTACCCGAGGACACTATGACTCAGGAGAGCAAGATGCATGCTCTATTTTTAGATGTGCATCGATATGAGATTAATATGACCCATCAGAGTGCTGAGACTTCAGCACAGATCATATACATAACAAAAGCTTTTTGATGTGTGTGCACTGTAACAAAAAGGTGAAGATAGATTATAACATAAAGATGCTATTAATCATAAGTTGAGTGTGGTTATCTCTTCATAAAATAACATTTGTGTAGTTTTCGGTGATTTAATTAATATTAATTAATTTAATGTTGCATATTTGCATTTGTAAGACCTAGCATTTGAAATAGTCTCTGTTTTTATGTAATTTTCTTCTTAAAAATATAGCAGTACACTGTTGGATTTTTGATATCATTAAATTTGCTTTCCATTGCACTAAATCTTCTTTGTGCTCAGCAAAAACTGTGAAAAAAGGAAGAATGGGAAGAGATACTTTGGTTCTTAAGATGCTATCATTTGCACCTCTTTCAACAGCTTTGCAGTGGAAAAACTGGCACTAATGCAAATAATGAGGAAAAGAGGCATTAATTATCGCACAGTAAGCTGCAAAGGTTGTAACACTGAGTAACGCTGTAGATTTCTTAATGCAATATTCATTTTGAGTGATAAAAAAACCATTAAGGGTCGATCATAAAGAAAACAAAGGTAACCATAAATTTAGGTAGCGTTTGCAAGATAAAGGAAATTTTGTTGGATGTGCTTTCAGCTGGCCTGAAGAAAAATCTCAGCATTGTATAATTAAGCAGCGCCCTCTTCTGGACAAACGAGACTGCAGTATGAATCTTCTTTTTTGTGTTTGTATCAACTTCTTACTTATTATGCTGATATATTGTGTACAAAAATAGAAAAATAGACAAACGCACATCTTAAATACTTACTTACTTTTTTATATGTAAATATATGAAAAAGTCAGGTGATTCTCCACCACAGTCTCAGGTCTTTTGAGGTCTCTGATGGGTTTTCTTTCAGGACTGAACAGTATTCAGCTCCATCCAACTTCCCAGAAACTCTGATCAGTGTCCCTGCCAAAGAAAAGTGTGACTATTGAATGTCCAGTATTATGTGCTGTGGTGCTTTTTCTACCACACATAGCATTTTGTGCACAGACCAAATATTTACTTTTGGTGTAATCTGATCAGAGCACCATCTTCCAACTTTTGCTAAGTCCCCCAATGACATTTGGCAAACTGCAGCCAAAATTTATATGGCTTTCTTATGGGAAGAAGTGTTTTTTTTCCCCCCACCACTCTTAAATAAATTATGTATTTCTGGAGTGCATGACAAGTACATCCACTTGTCATCCACCTCACCTCTGGATCACGATAGCTCACCCAGGCCTCTTGTTTTTTTTTTTGTGTCATTAATTTTACTCTGGACTTATTTATAGATACACATACTTGTTTTTATTTTTATTTTATCTTATATTTTTAGTTAGGTCCTATTTAAATTGCCTATACAATTATGTATATTTTTATAATTATTTTTACACTTATATTTTGGATCTTCCTTTAGGGTTGAATAAAGTATTGACATAACTGAACAATGCTGTGTGAGGTGTTCAAAGCTTAGGATACTGTTTAATAATCTCACTCTATTTTATCTTTGCTGTGGATTTATCCACAACGCTGACCTTTCATTGGTCTTTCTGATGCTGTACATCCGAAGGGAATTTAAGGCGCACTGGGCCTTTAAATCTGGACATTCAGTTTTCCTCCACGTTGGCCGCACATGCGCAGAGATCTTTGTCACCTGCTGAGAATCACAAACGAACAGGGAAGTCAGGCCCTCAGGACTGGATGTTGGGCTGAAAATATAAAACCAAGCAGTTCACTGGGATAGTTGACGTGTCCAGTTGCTCTCGGCGAGCCAAGATGTTTAAAAAACTTAAGCAGAAGATAAACGAGGAGCAGTCGCCGCAGAGGAATGCGCAGACACCACAGCAGCAGGCCCAGGTTAGTTGAGCTAACTTGGCTAATATCTGTTTATGTTACGGCTTGGTTGTCAGCTCAGAAACTACCTTTAGTGGTTTCTGATTTGAAGGAAGTCCTCTGTGATGTTCCAGTTAAATAACTTAATAAGCAGTCAACTTTACCGAACTTAAAATGTTAACGTTAGCATCCTGCTAAGACAGTGATTGAGATTAGCTGCTGAAGAGGTTGTTTAAACAAAACTTGAACTGGTAATTTTTGTTGTCCCGGGTGGAGAAAAATCCTTTAAAGAGTGAACCAGAGCTTGTTCTAGGAGAACGTACCAGCTTTTAGTTTCATAACACGTTGACAGGTTGGGCGTGTGGTGTTTGTTTTGGTTGCAGCCTGAACTCCGCTGGTCACTCCGGCTGACCCTCAGTAATCCTGCTGCTGTCAGACGCCCCCATTGTCTGATTATGCAGGCTGGCACATTGTCCTGCGTGCAATATTTTATTTAAAGACTCATCTTTAAATAAATAACATGACAAGTGGATGTACTTGTCATGCACTTCTGATGATTCACTATTTGAGCAATCATGTTCAATAGGGAGGATCTTCAAGGTGAGACACTTCCTTACTGCTAATCACTTTTTATGCCTAAAGTCTTTTGGGTCAAATGATCTTTCTAATCTGTCTTCATAAAATATCTAAAATCCAGAATTTAGTATTAAAAAATATATTTGCAAATTCCAAGAATGCATGATACATCTGCATTGACTGTTTTTGTTGGTCTAATATGAAAAGCTGATGTTTGTTGCAGTTTTTGTGTTTTGGGAAGGGACTGATTTGGACATGTAGTGATGCTGTTCAGGATTGTCGAGTGTTTAAATTCTATCAAAAGGGTAGAGAAGTATATAATACTGACAAATATTGGTTATTGGCCATTATAGTAATATTGTTACCTGTTATTAAATAGCCAAAACCTATTTTGTTCAACTAAGATGCCTTTTTAAGAAGAATATAATAACATTTTAGTAAACTTTAAAATTATTCTTACCTTCCTACTATGAGCTGTTATTGATTGTTTATGTTACTATTATCTCATAGCTAAGAGAAAATTAAGTGAGGTTACATTTCAAATGTTTTTCACCATTTTATATTAGCCATTAGTCCAGCGAACATCACGACTCCATGTATTGTGTAGAGAATATATACCCCTAATTTTAAGATTTCTGTATGGATTCCAACATCTTTTATGTCATTTTTAATGTACATGTGCAACTGGGTAAAAAAATGTTGTGTGATGGCTGTCATTTAATTCATGTGGGTTTGACATAAAACCCAAACCCTAACCTCAGCCTTTCTTTCACTACCTCAAAGATTGACTGATTGTTTCACCTTCTTGTAGGCAATATGATAGCTAAATGTAAGTAACAACATCCACGGGGTACAGCTGATACAGAGCTGTTTTTCCTCTGATGCCCCTCAGGGTTTCAATGATAATCCACGATCCATTAGCAAGTGGTATACACTATTATGTTACAAAGCAAAGACAGAAGCTGAAGCTCATTCTGGAATAACAACCACACATTATCACTTCATGATCCTTTAGTGTCCATCTGATCTGGAAAAAACGCTGATCCACATTGAATCTGACGCAGATAAATGAAAATTTGTCATAGCATATTTGCATACTTACAATATTATATTTAATACAAGTGGGGCTCATGGATTCCCTGTTCTTGCATTTCCCATTTTGTGTGACAGATTACTGGGTTACCTTGTTTTTTTTTTTGTTTTTTGTGGCTTATAAAGCAAAGAAATAGATATTTGTGCAACCGATTTCTTTTTCGGTGTGTTTTGCCACTTGTAACGCCCACTGCATGTCTGTAAAACCAGAGTGTCTGGATTATAGGATTTGAAGGTGAACACACTTGAGGTCGATGATGATTAAGAGTGCACTCAGTGCACAGCAGCAGTAGCATATTGATAATATATCACATCTCTGATCAATAACTTGTTTTTAAAATTAAAGATCCTAAAAACTGATCAATCTGTCCTAACAGATGGGCAGCGGAGAGCGGCGCAGCAGCCAGACACCGCCTGTCCATCATGACGGTTTGCCATCTCCCAGTGACAGACAGGTGAGTATGGAGCTGCTGTGTGACAGATCTGTTTGTCTGCAGTAAATGCACATCGTTTGTGCTTGAGTGGAAACAGCCAGCTTGACCCAGCTTATATACTGATTTTCTTTCTAGTGTCCCTAAAAGTCTGTCATTGGTTTTGCTTGTTGCTACCCCAGTAATGCACCGAGCTCTGCCCATTACTTTGCCAAGAGATAGAGAACAAAACAGCATATTATTATTACTATTATTATTATTATTATGAATAAATGTAGAACAACATAACCAACATACGGTTTCATTTAGGACTGCAGCCTGTATTTCACAGTGCTCATGAATAATGTATGTTCCTTGCTTTCAGGGTTTTTCTGTTTCTGGTGACTGCTTGTTTTGCTCCAGCAGATATGGGCTAGTCTGTGCAAGTATTTTTAGATAAATCTGAAGCGCTTTTGGATGCAGAGGCATCCTGACCATGAACGCAAGATGATGCAGCATATGTTTTGCGTGCCTCCTGACCAGATAATATGTGAATGTTTGCTGTCTAAAAATTTATCTTTTTTGCTTGTTCTTTAAAAAAAAGATGTGACTACTTATTAATGACACACACGCCACATGATAGGATAATAACATTGCCTTTTTAGTTAATATTCTGTGCATTAGTTTTCATAATTTCATGGAAAGTACAGTATGTTTTTTGCACTGTCATGTCAGCGTAGCACAGAAAGTTTTGGGAAGCAGCGCAACATTTTTTTTTCCATCTCACGTTTCTGTAACACTTTGACATCTTTGTCTCTTTTTGATTGTTTTATTTGGTTACTGGAAACCGAGTTGTCCAATATTCATGAAATTTTAAAGAGATGTCAAACTGTTGTTCATGACGTTGATGTTAATTAAATCTTTCACTTTTCAGCATTTCAAATTTTTTTTCTAGTTCACATTGTGTCTCTCCCTCTATCTCACTCTGTTCTCTCTCTTCCATCCATCCTTCCCTCTCTTGACCAGCTTACTTTGGATAGACCGGCTAAAATCCCCCCCTCCCAGTCCTCCCTCAGTGCTACTTCACTTTCATGGTGTTGTTTTTCTCATTGCTCTCTGTGTTCCTCTCCTTTCCCTACCTTTCGTTCCGTTTCTGCACTGACGGGGTCAGATGCTGGCCGGGATGATAGCAGAGCCCGCTTTTCTCTCTGAGTATACTATCTTTGCTCTGGACCATTCAAACCGACCCAAAACGGCCCAGGTAGCCAGTGTGGTGAGTCCGTCCTCACTTCCTGCCTCCTCCTCCTGCTCCTCCTTCTCCTCCTCGTCCTGTCCCGTTCCTTCCTCCCGTTTTCTGCGCGTTTGGGGAACCGTTAGAGGACTGTGGCTCGAGTAGGGACAGCTTGTTCCCTGGTCCTGTTTGCTTTGGATTTAGCATTAAGAAGGCATCTCACACAATAACATGACCCTACATCTAATGGGAGATGTGGTTTATATTGTGAGTTAGATTCTTCTGTGCGTTGTGCCCTGTGTTTGTTCATTGCCCAATCGTTGAGTTATCTTAACCTGGTGAAACATGAAATACTCCCCCAGTGTCTTTTAGTAGGCTTAGTTGCTTGTCTTTTAGGCTTCTTAACATCCTGCTATTTTGCCTTGTGGCCTTTGTCCCTTCTTTCTACAGGTCTGTTTATTTGGAGAATTGACATTTTCTGTAGAGGTATGAATGTTAAATTGAACAGAACTCTTCCAAATAAACAAACCCAGAGCAATATATTTATCACTTTTATTTAGTGTCAATACTTTGTTTTGTTCTTGTGTATGATCTTAGGAGGAATATAAGTAATTTAATCATCAGAAAACCTTTACCAGAACTCATGAGTTTGTTTGAAAAGTTGCGACTAAAATTGAAGGGTGCCTTACTTGTAAGATGACCCTCTTCTGTCTGAGTGACTCACAATATGTCAGTGTTTAATATTACATGCTAAGTTGGTCGACAAACAGTGCCTGGGATGTGTAAATGTGTATGAAGGGCAAATAATGAGCCAGCAGAAAGTTTAGTGTCAGCTGCTAGAGAGGACTGCAGTCCAATTAGAAGATAAGTTTTAAAAATGTCGCTTTAAAGTGGAATTATCTAAGATAAATGCCTGTTTTAAATAATGACCAGCATAGCAAACACCTGCTGTAAGTTACTCAAACTTATGCTGAATTTGAAAAATGACATTTTTCAAACTTGTCGATTTATGTGCTGCAGCAAATTGAGGACAGTTTTTTTTTAATCTGGCTTTGATTTGGTAATTCTGACTTTCATCTGATTACAATTTCTCTTTAATAATATATTTGACAGCAGTCAAAGTGAAAAAAAACAAAAACAAAACGTTGCACTCATCCTGCCCTAAACTGAGTTGAAATGTTCAGTGGTTGTTTTAGATATTTAGCTCTCCAAACTCTGGGATTTTAGTTGTGTTGATAACATTGTGACTTGTTGGAGTAAACAGAAAAATAGTCTGATTTCAGACTTGATTGATTTCGTGGTGCATTTCTACTTGACCTGGACAGTTCTTTCAGGGAATCAGATTAATTATGCAGCAATCGGGCTTTTGCTGAACAACACAAATTTGAAGCCTCGCCTAAAGACTTTTTTTTAAAGGGATTATTATATATAAAAAACATTTATGCAATCATTAACAGTTCAACCAAAGGCTGTACATCTGATGGGGATTTACTTTGTATTGTGTAGTTTGAAGCCTAGAGGTTTGATGCTCTGCAGTGACAGACATTACCTTCAGTTCATCTCATTGTTTCTGTCATATTACAACAACATTATGTTCCTACATAATGTTGACTTCTAAATCGCTTGCAGTTTACCATGAAATTATTTCACAAGATTTGGTTTTCTACCTTTTTTTTTAAGTTTGCTCTTACAAACCACACTTTGCAACTATGTTAGATATAGCCTCTCTATTAATAAGGATTTCAGCATTTTCCTACCTGATATGACGATGTGGTGATTTTTATTTTTGTTATTTTTGCTGAAGAAATGAGCTAGTGGAGTCTTTATGTATACACTACTTTTTGATGAGTCATTTTCTAGATTTTAACATGAACAGAAATGGGGAGCAAAAGACTAAAGAGAGATACATGAACATTACAAAACTATCTCCAAGAAAACATGAGTAAATATTTTTTTGTTCCTCTGTTTGACATATTAAAACTTTGTGTTTCATTTACTAGTTTACATGAGTTTTGTTGTCCTTGTTTTGCACCAAATTATTTCTCATAAAGTTCAGACCTGGATTGTTTACATCTTTAAGTCCCACAAAGTCTGATCTTCCAACTGGGACAGAAACCTTAAATAAAATAGATATATCTGGAGTCTTGTTATATTATGGTGGAACAGAAAAACATGTGTTTTGTTGTATTTCTAAAACATTTCAGTCACAAATTACTGACCATCACATGAGAAAAAGACTAAAACTAAGTAGGAATCAGGAACAAATGCATTTGTTTGCTCTGTAACCCAGAAGTGAGGGTATTTTGGAGCTGGACAAGTGAGGAGAAGACTTGCTTTTCTCTGAAGCTGCTGGTAACAAGTCGACCAAACCAACTCAGCTGCTAAATATTCACCTACTTCTGTTGTGCGATGTGCTCTTCTAATACAGCTTCACACAGCTCCGCTTTGCATCTTTGATTCAAATACTGGCCCGACTACTTGACTTTAACTGTGCGTTTGTCCTGAGCTCTTGGCTGTTCTCTATAGTAATGTTTTAACCGTTTTTTTAGTTTCTTGTACAGTAGAGATGCCTTCTTTTGTGTATTTAACCCCTCTGTTTTTCCAAATTGCATGAGGGTACCCATTGCCCCTGCATTGCTCCCAGCAATACTAATATTGCTCTCTTCAGAGTAATCAGGGAGAGCCCTGCTGGGTGTGGATGACTAATTGGCCCAGGATCATCACCATCACTTCTTCTCTGACTGTATCTTTATATTCTGCAGAATGCCTCCAGAGGAGTTGCAAGATCTCCCAGAGGCAGCATCAATGGAGATGGAAGTGTTTCTCCTCAGGTATGTTTATGCATCCAGTAAGACAAGGGAGTCCAAAGTGTGGCCCGAGGGTCATTTTTGGGGCGTGAAGTGGTTTTGTGCGGCCTTATTCAGGATTGATTAACATTTGACTGGTGGTTAAAGGTGATACCAACTTTTCCTTTTTAATCAATGTTCATAACATAATTTTATTATAATGGAAAATGTAAATTTCTTTACATAAATAAGCTTTTATAGTAAGTAAAACCGTGTCTATTCATGGATTTTTACTGAAAAGCCTACTGCTGTGGCTTTTATTTAATTTACCAAACTTGCCTAAATATAGCAAGTGTTTTGAAAGAAAGTGACCTAAATATTTTTCTTATAACAGAATACATTTGTTCTATCAAGTCCAAACAAATGTAAAAACTAAATGAGCTTTGTTTTAATACAAAAAACATGCAAAATCCTTTATAAGTTTTGCATTTCAACTACAACAGCAAAATTGGACTACTACTTGATTTTGTCTATTTGCTTTTGATTAATCTATTTTGGCTCATGTAGCAAAGTATGGACTTCCACCTCTAAGACTATCAGCTTATTTCAGAGAATTTGAGGCACGCTCCCTAATGTTTTCCCACGTACAGAAGGAGGAGTCGCAGTCATTTGCACAGAAGTTACAGCTGAAAGTTCCCTCAATGGAGTCGCTGATTCGTGGCGGTGCCACTCGAGCGGAAAGTCTGTTCCGCTCCTCATCTAAAGAAAACCTGGTTCGGAGCTCCTCCCGCGAATCGTTGACGCCTTTAGGAGAAAACGAGCCGTCTGGGCCCCCCGCGTACGATCCTCCCTCGGACATTGAGAGCGAAGCTGAGGAGCTGCCAGGAAACGCGGAGGCTCTTTCTAAAGAGCAGCTGGTGCATCGATTGCTTCAGGTGGAGAGGAGTTTGGGAAAGTACAGAGGGAAATACTCAGAGGTGAGAAACAGGAATGACTCCTAGGAGATTAAAACTCCTACACCGGAAAAACACAATGTCTTACTAAGGATTTATTTACAGTTTCTTGTACAAATATCTTAGTTTTGTCTTATTTCAAGTATACTAACACACAACTAACCTTATAGCACAATATGGGTTTTTAATTTAAGTAAATAATTTACGTATATTGATGAAAAAGTACCAGATATACAGTAAGTTAAAAAAAACTGCCAAAATGACTTGCTCCACTGGCGGATTATTTCACTTAAAACTAGTACTTTTTTCATCAAAGTTAGTGAATTACTGACTTAAAACAAGCTCCTCTATAGTGCTGAAAAGGTGGTTGTAATTTAGTTTAGTCTTACTCCAAGTGTACTAAGATATTTGCACTAAAAACAAACGAGAAACACTTTGCTAAGTTTTTGTAAGATCAGCAAATCTAACATTTTATGCTAATTTCTTTGTAGCTTGTTACTGCATATCGCACAGTGCAGCGAGAAAAAGAGAAAACACAGGTATTTCCAACTGAGACTATAATAATGGCTAATTTTTTTGTTTAGACACTAATCTGATGTTTTGTGTGTTTTTTTTCAGGCCATCCTCAGTCAGAGTCAAGATAAATCTCTGCGCAGAATAGGAGAGCTTCGTGAGGTAGCCTCTGTTATGAAGAATAGCTGATATCTGTTTGTTAGTATGAGCTTGTATGTGATATTTAACTTTATGGTTTATTTCTAGGAGCTTCAAATGGACCAGCAGGCCAAGAAACACCTGCAAGATGAGTTTGATGCTACGCTGGAGGAGAAGGACCAGATGATCACTGTCCTTCAAACACAAGTCAGTAACCTGTGAAAAACATCCAGATTAGAATAAATATTTTTATGTTGGGATAAAACTTCAAAACATGCCAAAATATAGCAGATAGTTTTCTTTTAAAAACATTTATTCTTCTGAACAACAGTCTATATGGAAACAACTTGATCAATATGTGAAATAAACTTTTTTTGTATAAGTAAATGCCTAATTCACACAAAGTTTCTATGAAAAAGAGTGAAAATAAAATATTTTGATGTCCTGGGAGAATTTTAATGACATTATTTTCCTTCCCTTTAAAAGGTTGCCTTGTTGAAAAAGCGAGTAAAGGGAGTTTCTGATGGTGTACTGCCCGCTGAGGGTGAAGCCCTTCATCCTGAAGCGTCTTCAGATTCTACTGCTGCTGCTCAGAGTCCATCAAAAGAACAAGAACTGGAACCAGAGACACCTGAGGGTCCGCAGAGCCTTGATTAATCATATCATGAGTTGTGTAGACAATGTTTGTTTTTGCCATTGATTCACTTCTGTTGCTAGCACATATGAGCCAACAATATCCCCCAGTGAGCATCTATATTTACAGTTTTTTTTTTCAGTCTAAAATTTCATTCAAGCGAGCATTAAAAAGTCTGACTTGAATCCTACAGACACCTTGCAGCAACATAAGAAGACAGCAAACATCTAGAAGACCTGGTTAGATGAGATCTAAATATTTAGACCAAAACATGTTGTGGGTTTGGTTCTCTTTAGCAGGTATTGTGAAGCTTCTCATATGAGACTTCCAGAGCAATCTAGAGCGACAACAATCTAGAGCGACAACACAATCATTTATCTACTTTATGATTGTAACATAATGAAATGTGACGTGGTTCTACGGGTATGAATGCTCATGCAGTGTCCTGCAGATTTTTCTGTGATTTTGACTGTGCGTTTGGTTTCTCTGGGCAGTAGAGGGCAACAATGATCCAACCAAACTCATGGAGGCTCTCCAGAAGAGGGTAAAGAGGCAAGAAAACCTGCTGCAGAAGTGCAAAGAAGTGATGCGCACACACAAGGAACGGAGTGTGCAGCTGAGCAGCGAGAACGAAGCTCTGCAGGAGCAGCTCCAGGAGAGACTTCAGGAGCTGGAGAAAATGAAGGTGCTCACACTGGGTTTTAAAGTGGTCTGATGAGTGAGAGACTAAATCACGTTGCAGTTAGTCAAACAGTTTTATAAAGTTATTATTATTATATACTGTACGGTTTTATACTTTAAGTCTGAACCCTGATAATTTAAAATGCGTTTTTGGAAACAGCTTACATTGGATTTTTATTTCTCTATAAAATGCTGTTTGGATTTAAATGAGGATTTAGCTGCAAACGACTGAGCTGTGTATAAATGTGTGTGTGTGCTTGAGTAATGAACGTCTGCCAGAGTCTTTTCGGTTCACTGATAATGTGACTCCATTATCTCAGTGACACAGCGGACAGCCGCTGCACTCTGTGTCCAAACATCCAAATTCCCTGGCCAAGCTCCATAGTGAGAGGTCGCATCATGTCAGCTTGACACAACTGAACTATTGTTTTCATTAAACTCAAAAACATTTTGTTTCAGTGGTATGTTTGGCTTCTGCAGCTTGTCCATATCTGCTACGATGCTTTGCTGCATCTGTTTGAAGCTGATGAGCAAATCTTAGAGACAGACAGCTAGTCAGTGATTGCATGTTGGTTGAATCTCATTTATTTAAACGATTTTTCCGTTTTCCAGAAAAGCAAAAGTTAACAGGTGCGAAGTTCTCTAAGGCAGCAGAGAAACAGGTCATAAAATAGAACATCTATTTCAGATTAAGCAGTTTTAGACTTGTTTTTCTCAGACCTTTAAAATGAATGCCTTTTCCAGCTTCAGTCAGTCCGCCTACCTCTGCAGCAGCCTCTGGTAAATCTGTGGTGATTGCTACATGTGGATACTGGGCTGTAATTTGGGTTTATTTTTTGGGTTTGCTGGGTTTATGTTAGGTGGTTTGTGGGCGAGCCAACCTGGGAGGTGAAGAAAACATCTTACTTTGACATTCTCTGACTAAAACCTGTACAGGAATTGAGCCAGAATATCAAATTTGCTATAAAGACAGGAATGTTATTCAAGTTATGCATGTGCAATGTATTTATCTGGAAATCTGTCGAATGGTTTGTGTTCTCAGGACCTGCACACGACAGAAAAGACGAAGTTGATCACTCAGCTGCGGGATGCCAAGAATCTCATTGAGCAACTGGAGCAGGACAAGGTGGCTTAGAAGCTTTTATAGCATCTGTCACATCTTGATTAAAGGCTCTGTGGGATGTGTTTCTCTGCCCTTGGCTAAAGAGGCAGGACACGGTGAAGCACCACGTTGTTTCTCTTAATCTTTGACTCTAGCTCCACGGGATGAAGAGCCACTTAGAAGTTCACTGTGATGGATGAAAGACAAATGCTATTAACAGCTTAAAATAGGTGTAAAATGCAGACACACTCAATGCATTACAGGTTTCGTATGGATGCTTGAAATCTTTGAAAATGCTTGAATTTCAATTGAGTGCTTTCAAGATTTGGAAAATTATTGATATCTATATGCAGTTATGGTTATTAAAAGTGCTTTATATTCAAACTGCACAAGTGCAATAGAATGTTTGATTGGAATCCTAAATTTGGAAAGCAGATATTTAAAAATAGTAAAAAGACATTTACACAATTTGATCATTGTCTCAAGTTAAATCAGTCCAAACCTCTTGTTTTAAGACAAATTTACAATAAATATTTATATTTGCGAAATCCCAGACATCTTACATTTGTTAGACTTTTTATAACTTTCTTTGACCAGTCTATAGGTTGTGTGTAAGAAACGTTTCAAACGTAAAATTTTGTTATATTTTACTTTACCTTTTTACCATTTTGTTGAACATAGATACTGTCACAAGATATTATTAAATTGTATAATAGCGGACAGCCGCTGCACTCTGTGTCCAAACATCCAAATTCAGGTTGATTGGACACAAATTCCTGTGTTCAGGTTTTTCCTGAATGCTGATTTTTAAAATCAATCAACTAATTCTGATTTTCACCAATGCAGATTCTTAATTCGTTTGTTTATTTTCTTCTTTCTTTTTTGAGTTGTAAGACATTTTTGCAATACAGACCCATTCAATGAACTTGAATATTATTGGAACTTCTATTAATTCATCACATTATATAGGTTAATTTCACATAGATGGATGTTTGAAAGCCTTTATTTCTGTTAATTATGATGATCTTATGCTTACAGTTAATGAAAGCGTGACATATAACGTTAGTGTTTTATGTCAGAAAATAAAAAAATTAAATACAGAAATGTAGCATTAGTAAAAAAAAAAAAGTTAATGTAATAGCTTCGTAAGAGTTTTCAACATTCAAAAGATCTGACAAACTAGCCTCATCAGATATTCTAATTTATTGAATGTGACTGTATTTGGTCTGCCGATGACCAGTCAAGGCAAATTTGGCTGACTTAATAATGGTGGTGCATCTTTACATATTTTTAATTAGTTTTGCATTTTTCTCAGGGAATGGTCATTGCTGAAACCAAGCGGCAGATGCATGAGACTCTTGAAATGAAAGAAGAGGAAGTCGCACAGTTACGCTCCAGACTCCAGCAGGCTGTCGCCCAGAAGGAAGAATTACAAGAGCAGAAAGAAAAGGCTGAGAAATCAGGTGAGTTCAAATCAAGTTTGAAGTCCTGCAGCAAGAAAAAAAATCCCACTTCACCTTCAGTGAAGGATAACAGACTTTGTTCCTGTCTTGCAGCGTTTGAAGAGCTTGAACGCGCTCTGGGTGTGGCGCAGAGGGCCGAGGAGGCCAGAAAACAGCTGCAGGTCCAGCTGGAGCAGCGAGTAGCAGAAGTGGAGAGAGCGAGTGAGGAGGAGAGGAAGAGTCTTCAGCAGGAGCTCACAAGAGTGAAACAGGAAGTCGTTACCATCATGAAGGTCAGAAAGTAACTCATTGATTTTATGTTCATACAAAGGAAGTCATTATACCACTAATGCTACCACTTTTATGCTCATCAATTGTCAATATTTGAACTATTCCAATATTTTTGGGAAATACTTTGCCAAATACATGTTTGTTTTTGTTGCTGTTGGTTTCAGAAATCATCAGAAGAAACTGTGGCTAATTTGGAAAAAGCCCACAGTGAAGCTTTAGCTGCTAAAGAAGAAGAAATGAAGGAAAGAATCAGCAAAGCAGTGGTCGGTGCCACCCTCTTCAATCATTCTTATAGAATATTGTCATAAATGGTCCAAATACAGATCTGATTTTTAAAATTCTTCTATTTTCCAGGAGCAATGCAAAGATGAGTTTCAGCAGTTGGCAAAGGAACGAGAGCAGCAGGCGTCTCTAGCTCTGGAGGACTCAGAGTTACAGAAGACGGCGATAAGGACAGAAGCTGACAATAAAGTGAAAGACATGCAGCTGGAGCTGGAGGCTGCAAGAACAGTGAGTTATGGTTTTCCTCTCTTTTCAAGCAATTAATTTACCTGATAAGTATAAGACACTGAATTTGATTTGCCAAAATCAAGTAAAACATAGAGATAAAAGTAAAATCTTAGACTTTAAAAATATGATTTATTTGACTCAAGGTTAAATTTACAAAAAAGTTTATATTTTCTTTATTTTATCTATCAGAGAAAATATTTTTAGATGTCTCATAAAATAACCAATAGTTAAATTGATCCTGTTTTTTAAATTTTGTTAGACTTTAGCGTTCACATTTCTAGTCTTAACAAGCAATAGTTCATTTTTCCTCCTTTTTTTTTTTCAATCCTCACATTTTACTATTCGATCAAAAATTTAAGACTTACCTAAAATTGTTTTCTTTCAAGTCTTTTTTTTCTTTCATTTTATTTATCATCTTGAAATATAATGACCTACAAGGTTTGATTACATTTAAACTTTATTGTCAGGCATTAGTAATATAGTTAAATGAATTAAAAACAATGCAAGTAGTATAAACCATAAACTAATATGTAAAATATGAAACCACAATATCAATAAATGCAAAATCTATATTTAAAAATGACAAAAGACAAATACTAAATGAAAAAAGTGCATAGAAATTAAATGGAATGAAATATATCTACTTAAAGTGCTCAGACTCTTTGTTACATTTGTCACTTTTCATGTGATTTCAGAGGATTTTGGAGATGGAGAGCTCTGTGAACAAGACCTCACAAGATGAATCCAGTTTATCTCAAGGTCTTTCCAGTCAGCTGCAGGAGCTGAAGAATAACCACAAAGAGCATATCGCTGCACTAGAAGCAAAACACCAAGAGGAGATGGAAAAGGACAAGGCGGCTCTGATCCATCAGCATGATGCTGCTTTAGAGGAAGTCAAGGAGAAACACAGATTGGAAATGGAGACTCTGCTGAAAGAAAAAGAGCTGCAGTTCCAGAGTCACGTTGAAGACATGAACCAGAAAACGCTGGAGAAACTGGATGGGAAGCAGGCAGAGCTGGAGGCACTTTCTGCTGAACTTTCAGAGGTTTTAAGCAGCAGGCAGACTCTGGAGGAGAAACTGGCAGCAGCTGAGGAGACTGCAAAGGCAACTCAACAAGAATGTGAGCAAAAGCTGCAGGATCAGGTATCAAAGCACAGAGTTGAGCTTGAAAATATCAAACTTGCGCATGAACAGTCTCTTGGAGGTGTAGAAAAAACGTTGAAGCAGGAGCTTAATGCACTAAAAATTGTTCTGAGGGAAAAGGAAAAAGAACTTGAAGACGTTCTTTTCAAAGAGAAAACCATACAGGAGAAAGCACATTCCACTGCACAAAACCTGGAAATCAAGATTAGAGAGGTTGAAGAGCTGCAGCAGAGTTTATTGCAAACTCGGCAAGAAATTATGAGCTTAAAGGAATCTAACACTCAGTTCAACACAACATCAGAGGATCTGGATCAATGTAGGAAAAGTTTGACAGATCTGAACAATCAGCTGGAAGTAGCAAACAACCAATGTGAGGAAAAAGAGAAGATGCTCCAAGCAATGAGGACTCAGTTAGAAAAAACCAAACAGGAGCTCCTAGAAAAGGAGAAGGCTTATGTAGCAGAACAGAAAAAAAATCAAGAGGAGCAAAAGTGCCTTAAGAAACAGCTGGATGATGAAAAAGCAGCTCATGAAATCAAACTAAAGAATACTATATCCGAGATGGAAGCAAAGGTGAAAAAACAGGAAACAAAGATGGAAAAGTTCAAGCAGAAGGCCAAAGAAATGCAGGAGAGCTTTAAGAAAAAGCTACAAGAGAATGAAGAAAATATAAAAAAGGAACTTGCAAAAAAAGAGGCGGAGCTTCAGCAGAAAGAGCAGCAAGTCCAAGAAAAAATTGTAGAGATGGCTCAGAAGAGTTCGCAGGGCCTCAGTAGTGCTGTGTCAGAACTGCAGGAAAACCATAAGAAGGAGCTAGAGAAGCTGCTCACAACCCGAGCAGAAGAGATGGAGGTGGTGGAGCGTCGCTGGCAGGAGAAACTGGCACAACAGGAGGAAGAACTCACAGAGAAACATTCAGCCATCCTCCAGGAGAAAGCTCAGGAATTGGAGGAAACATCTCAGCAGCTCAGCAGAAGCCGGGACGAGAACCAGCAATCGTCTCAGGAATTAAAGGACCTAAAAGAGGACCTGGCAATCCGGGAAACCACTGTGCAGAAGCTGCAGGAAGAACTGAACGAAGCAGCCGTTAAACTCGAAGGTTTGTCTCAGGGAGAAGCGTTGCTGAAGGAGCAAATGGAGTCGACGGAGAAGAACCTGAACCAGGCTCTAAATGAGAGAAACGTCCTTCAAGACCAGCTAAAGACGGCAGAAGAAGAAAGCAGAGCAAGCATAAAGACTCTGTCAGAAAAGTTGAACGAAGCAGAGAAGCAGCTTGAAGCATTGGAAAGCTCCAGATTGACAAACACTAAAGATCTGGAGAGTAAAATTGAGCAAACATCCACACAACTACAAGCCAAGGAAGCTGAATTCCAGCAGCAATTAGATATAATCCTCGACAAAATGGAGCGCTACTGTAAGGAGGTTAAGTCTAAAGTGGAGTCTTCCTCTGATGAACTCCAACAACGCGTTGAATGTCGCGTGAAAGAGCTGAACGGTAGACTGCTGTGCAGTCAGGAGAATGTGGGGCGCTTACAGAGCATTTTCCACACCAAGTTGGACAGAATTTGCACTTTAGAGGAGAATGTCCTCCACCACACACAGGAGAACAAGAATCTATGCATTTCATTAGAACAGGCGACTGCTCAGGTAGATGTTCACATGGAGCATATCAAAGCCTTAACACAAGAGAGGGAGAACAGCTCTCTTTCAATCAGCGAACAGCTTCAGAAAATACAGGAGCTGAACGAAACCAACAGAATCATGTCGGAAAGTCTGAAAGCCAATGAGCTTCTTGTCGCCGACTTGAAAAATCAGCTTGTACGTAATGTGGAAGACAAGGAGGAAGCCATAAATACACTGAAGCAGCAACATGAAGAGGAGAGACGAGAAGGAATGGAGAGGCTAGAGCAGGAGAGGAAGAGGGCGGAGGCAAAGGTCAACCAGGACGACGACACGATTAAATCTCTGCAGATGAGGCTAGAAGAGTTGGAGAAAGAAATCTCAGAGAAGAACGAATCTCTGCAGAAATTGGCAGCGAGCGTCGACAATCAGTCCATCAGCAAGTCTGAGATGGACCAGGTGTTGAGTGAAAAAGAGCAGAAAGTCAGCGACCTCGCCTCAGAGCTCGACGGCTGCATCGGCCGACTCTCGGAGCTGCAGGAGCGCTTCGAGGGGAAGACGAAAGAGTGCGAGCGTCTCGCCTCGGAGCTGAAACAGCAGCACATCAGCAGCGAGGACCAAAAGAAAGAGCTGGTGGAGCAGCTGCAGCAGATCCAGATGCAGCGCGATCAGAGTGGTCACATGGAACAAGAGCTGGGAGAAAAGCTGAGCTCCCTCCAGGAGGAGAACACGAAGTGTAAACTTGCGCTTGAAAGTCAAAGGGAGGAATTTGAAAGGATGAAAGACGAGATTAACAAGAGCAAAGAGGAGAGTCTCAAAGCGACTGAAGAGAGGTTATCTGCAGAGAGCACTCGGAAGATATCAGAGCTGAAGAAGAAAGCTGAGCAGAAAATTAGTCAGATTAGAAAACAGCTGACGGCTCAGCTCGAGGAAAAAGAGGAGACGGTTAAATCTCTCCAGAATAGCCTGGAGGAAAACAGAAGCAGCGAAACTTTGTGCAAAAAGCAAATAGAAACATTGGAGGAGAAAACAAAATCACTCGAAGAAGCTCTTGTGAAGCTTAAAGAAGAGCAGGAGAACAAGCTGGAGCAGATTGTGAGTAATGAGAGGCTAGAGAAAGAAAGATGTTTAGAAGAGCAGAAAGTCGCATATGAAGACAAGCTGATTTCTCTCCAGAAGGAGGCGGCACAACAGGTGGAGCTCCGAGAAACTGAAACAACGCTGCAACAACTCCAGGCAAGGCTAAAGGAAGTAGAGGAGCAAAATGAAAACCTCCTCTCAGAAATAAACTGTCTGAAAGCAGAAATCATTGAAAAAGATGCCCAGCTCACTCAGAGATCAATGACTCCTCCTTACAATGTCCATCGTTCGTCAGAAATGGAGGTGAAGGTGGAGTGTAGCAGTGTGCAGCAAACTATGAATGTGATGGGAAACGAGGTGGCAAATCATTCTCCTATGCACAAAGAAGAGGACGTCGATGGTGATTCTTTGCAAACTCTTAAAGACAAAGTGAGCCAGATGAAGAACGAGAAGGAGAAGATCCAGAAGGATTTCGCCAGGCTGCAGAAAGACATGAGGCAGCTGAGGAAGGAGCATGAACACGACCTGGAGTATGTGAAGAAAGAGCTGCTGGAGGAGAACGAGAAAAGGCTAAAGTAAGATTTTACTTCATCATTATAAACAATATGTTCAGTATTTTATTATGCTAATCTGGATTCATTTTTATATAGACTGGAGCTTGAAGACGTGGAAATGAAGCACAACTCTGCTATAAAGCAACTAATGAGAGAGTTCAACACACAAATGGCTCTGAAAGAGAGAGAGCTTGACTCCTCTGTGAAAGAGACAATAGGTGAGATAAAATAAATGGCCAGTTTAAGATCAGACCTAAAGAAATATTTTTGAAATAGAAATCAAAAACACAATGTTTCATTGAGCATGGGGGAAATGTTTTCATTTCATTTGCATTCCCTCGCAGTAAATTAGCAAATACACCCCTGCTCTATTTCGTAACCAGTCACAGTGATTACAAATTTCTGTTTAAAATTACATATAAGTAATTTGCTCCTTTAAGGATCCTCTGTGAAAGCGTGTTTATATGTTTAACTCCTTGGTGGAGAAACACGTTTAAAATTGATCCATTAATTTATGTTTGTTTTTGTGAGATGGAGATGGGACTCTGGATGAAACACTTTATTATTGCACAGTTAAAATAACTCAGAAATAGTCCAAATAGTTTTGTTGTATTTGCTTTCTTTCCTTCTTATGAATGTCTTATAAGGGATGGGAAGCCCATGTTTTGCTCTTTGCACGTTTGTGGTGAATTTATATCCTAAAGAGAACGATGTACAACTTGAAATATTAGATAAGATATTAACATACATGGGAAATCCTTTCAAAAACCTAATGTTGTACCAGGAAGACGTTCAATATTCAAGATGCCTCATGAACTGACTACTACATCATTGGGAGAGAATGCAAAAACTTTGCCAGTGAATGTAAAAGAAAATATTTCTCCCTGGTCTTCTAGAGGGGTTCCTACAGACTAAAGCTAAAGTTAGAAGGTAATTCTCTCTTACTTCTTCTGCTGTTTCCTCAGCCAAGGCCCAGGCTGTCGAGACTGAACTCATCAGCAGCCATCGAGATGAAGCCAGCCAGCTGAAGAAGCTCATTTCCCAGAAGGAAGACGATTTGCAAAGAACTGTGCAGAAATATGAGCAGGTTATACAGGTGAGTTGGATCCAAATGTTTGTGTTTCTTAAAGGCCACATTTTATTTATTTATTTATTTTTATTTTATTTTTTTCATTCATTTACAGTTTAAAATTGAACATAAAGCACATTACCATAAACAAATACAATCTTGTACAGTTTACTAAAGAAGTAACTATTAGGTGGGCTGATACAGTTAAGATGACACAGGAAGTGCTTCATTTATTTATTTATGTCATTGTTTTTAGAATCGCGAGGAGGAGATGGGAGACAGAGTGTGGCAGGTTCAGAAACAGCTGGAAGAGCTCCAGGCACGCTGTGAGATCGCCTCAGAGGTAAAGCTCTGCCTCAAGCAGCTGTGTCATAGTCCGCTGCTGCATTTGGGGCATTTTTAGTTTCACAGAAACGTTCGTAGCTGCAGCCAATATGCTGGATTATATATACACCTCTGGGAGTTCAGGCAGAGATAAAATTTCTATAGTAATGCTGTTCAAGTCATAAGTCACTCCTCTTGGCTCCCATAAACAGCAGAGGTCATATGAAGTTCTCGTATTCTCAGCTTTCCTTTGGGATAAGACCAGAGTCTGAAATAAGCATTGGCAGTTCTGAGTGACGGACGAAGCACCCATCTAGGTTAACGTGCAATTCAGTCGTCCCTGTTTTTCTTTGGGTTAAAACTTGATGTCAGGGACAACTGTGTTGGATAGTTTTCTTTGAGCAGCGTCTTGTGGCCGCTCTCCAAAGGGGGCCGGATGCTGCGAGACTGCGTTCGAGTCACCCAGGAATGCTCTCCTCACGAAACGGACCCTGGAAGGCAGCAGTCCCTGTTCTCAATTATCACAAGAGCTGCTTCCACAGCTTTACATTTATACTGCAGTGGTGCTCAGATACTCAAATTGGAAGGAGTCCAGTTATGGTTCCGCAGAGATTTCTCCAGGTGCTTTTGGAGGATTTTCTTTCTTTCACAAATGTTTGTTGAAAAATAAACAGAGTGTTTTACTGCTCTGACTGCTGCATTTTTCCCAGATGAGGTAATAACTTTATGGGGGACTCTGAGCCATTATCCCCATACAAACCTTGCTTTCTCCTTTTTTCACCAGACATCCATTATGCATCCATAATTTGTTCTCCAATTAACAAATGATGGATGATTAGTGTGTATTAATTATTTTTTCCACTCAACCATTCATCCATTTATATTCCCACAAAACTATTTATCCATCTGTATTTCTATTGTTGAATGATTTCCTTGCCTTTATTGGTGTTTGTATCCTTCTTGCCTACATTAAAGAAAGTTAACCAAGTTCTGATTATCTATTTTTGAATACTCTTCTGAACAATAAAACCCACCTTTTGGTTTTATTTTGGAATTGTGCTAAATATTTTCTGTGTTATCAGCATTTATTTTGTGTCTAGTTCACGTGTAGCTGGATATCTGGGAAAATTAATATTTTTTTATGTGTCTAATGTCACTAAAAGTGACTTACAAACTGACTAAAGTGGAGATATGAGGAAACTTTGTGTTTGCATGTCTACATGGAAAGTCAGAGTTCATCAGTCTGAGAGAAATAACATCCCATTATATCCACACACTTGCTTAGAAAATATTCCTAATTAGCATCTTCTTTGTGTTTTTAATAACTTTATATCCATTTATGTTGTTTAAAAGTAGTTCAACTTATCTTATTTGTCCATACAAATGAACATTCTGCTGCCATGTTTAAGTCCTAACAGGAAGTTGTAGTTGTTTTGCAGCAATTTTATTGGCTGTCTGGTTGTACCTTTCCGCTACGCTGCCCCCTATGGGTGTGGCATGTTTAAAACAACAATCAGTTGCATATTTGTGAGGGTTCATGTGGGTGAAAGATATTTGTTTTTATAAATGTGTGTACACAAAGGTTCAAAATAGGAAAAAAACTCACCAAAATCTTTTTGTATTTATCAATACAGGCAACCCCTGAGGACCTGAAGGTACGTATGTTGCTTTAATAATTCAAAAGAATTATTAAAACCAATATTACTGTAATACAAATCTTAAGTGTCTTATTTCTTTCCTCACGTACAAGTCCGGACATTTGTCTTCTGTCCCTTTGATTGCAGGCTCAGCTCGCTGAGAAGACGACTCTTCTGAGCGAGGCGAGGCTGAAGGAGCAGGAGTTCGTTGAGAGAGTAAGTGACAGAGCCTCTGTTTAATAACCGAAGAGCAGTGCGTGTTCCCAGAAACCTGTTGCCTCTGGCAGAAACAGTCACTGCCCTCCTGCTGCATCCATTCTAATTGCGCAACACATCTGTTTACATTTGGTTTAACCTTATAAACTGTCAGAGCACCACCTCCCACAGGTTTCATTTTTCAGCAAACCACCCCTAAGGATGGCATATGGGCATTTAATCCATGTATCCCATTTAACGGTAAAAGTGCAACAACTTCACCCACGGATATCAGAAAGTAATGCGTCCATGTCTGTGTCTTTATGCTTGTTAGATTCACTCACTTGAAGACAAGATCAAATTTCTCCACCGCAGCCCTGTTGTAACTCATCTTGGTGGGACATACAAAGGTAATCTTTGCATTAACATTTTGTTCTCCTTCCACAAGTTTACATTCACTCAACTTTAGCATGAATGTCATATTCATTTTGTCTTTTAAGGATGCATTTAATCTTTCCCAGGGTAAATCAATGACATCAGTCAACTTGAATAAATTTTAGATCCATGCTACTGAATAAAAGGCTACCACATATGTCATGCTTCATGTCAAACTTCTGACATTTAGGTGCTTTCCTGTGAATCATATTGTTAAAATCTTAAAATTAACTTGAACAAAGCTTGTAGGTATCTGCAAAATATTTTTAACAACATGTCAACAAGATAAGCAGAAACAGTAGAACAACAAAATCCAATTTCTGCTTTTTTTTCCCTAAATAAAATGCAAAAACACAGAAAATTAATACATTTTTTGAAGGTAGAGTCGGGAAACTACAACACAAAAACAGAAGAGAAGCTAAAATATCAATCTACCATGCTATTAATCCAATACCACTAATGACTTAGACCAATTAGACACAAATTTAAGACCTGTGATTAACATATTTTAAGGCCTTAATGAGTAAATTTAAGTCTTTTTAAGGACACGCAGACATCCTGCCAAGGTTGTTGTAATTGTGCCACAAAACAAGTCTCTTTGTGAGATATCTGATGGTTGTTGGTAACACAGTTGTAAATGAGGTTTAAACCTCCATTTCAATGAGGTTTAATTGCAAATGAGGTTTCGATCCCGTTCAGAATTGCAGCCGAGAAGTCCATATTAGCGTTGATGTGAAACCTCTGTGGGACCACAGTGTTCTTATCATGGACCCAATTGTATTTGCAGACATTGAGTCAGGTCTTCTGGTGCAATAAAGAAAATCGGCTGTCAGGGATTTTAGGGGTGATGAAGAAGCCACCTTTTTACCGTAATGGGTTTTGCAGACTCTGCTCAACATTACTGCTATTCACTCACTGACTTCTTAAATCCTCCCTTCTTGGAAAAGAAGTTTTATCTAACATACTTTAGTTTATGTGTGGGAGAATTACATCTGTGAAGCTTGCTTTTATTCTGCTAGGTTTCTGTTTAGCTTATTTAAAGCACCTAAAGTTGTGGTTGTAGGTTGACGATGTGAAAGCTGTTGATGGCTGGTTTCAAGTAGATGTGATTGGCCGGGTAGTCGCCTCACTGAGGGCAAGAAAAGGTCAGGAGGACAAAGGCTACAGGATTTATTGGTGACCCTTTAATCCATGTCAGAGATCAAAGAGATGTTTGGATGCCTCCTTCTCATTGACTCTTGTTTCAGAAAAGCAGCGGCATTTATTAAACTGAATGATAATTACGCTTAAGCACAAAGCATGTGAGTTATTCTCATCTAGCTTTTGGTGAGAAAAGCTGCAACCTAAGTGCTACCAGCTCCATCCAGATTGTAAGCATAGCTGTTCCCATACTGTTTGTAGCTTTGGGCAGAGAATTACAATGGTGACTGCTCTCATCATATGGTTTTAAAGTTCTCATGCTGAGACTCAATTATTTCCTGTTCTTGAGCTAAAGTTGAACCAGTACCTGCCCGTGCTCTGGTTCTGTCTGCAGGTATTGTTGCTAAATAAATACAGAAATGACCACCACTTTAAAATCTAGATGAAAATAGAAACTGCACACCAATGCTCTGTTACTCTGCTGCCGTTTTTCTTTTTTATATATATGGTGCAATAACTTAATGGAAAGCAAATAAAAAATGTGTTTAATTGATAAAGCTTATTGTTATAACTTCAGTGGTGTTTACAAAAGAGGAAACTTTTTTTTCTTGCGACAGATCCTGGGATAAATACCTCAGATTCTCTGTCGGAGTCTACAGAGATGGAGTACCTGAGGAAGGTGCTGTTTGAATACATGATGGGACGGGAAACAAAAGTAAGCTTTTCTTTATTTCATTAGTTATTTTACTCCCACAGTTAATAAAAAAAAAAAGAAAAAAAAGAGTTGAACGTTCAGACTGACTTAAATCATACAGATGGAAAAAGATGTGATCATATTTAAGTCGCTGCAGTGAATCAAACAGGGATTCATTGCTGCAGCTGTTGTGACTGGTTGTTAAGATCTAGCTGATTGAATTGATGTGTGGGTCAACAAATTAAAATTTATGCACAAAAATGAAAACAAATCGCAAAACAGCTTAAAATCAGAGACACTGGTTGATAGAATCACATTGCATGTTTAATATTTGCCTTTCTGTTTTGCCATATCCACCAGCTTTAATGCATTTTAAGGGATTTTATGTGAAGTTGAATGAAAATTATGTGATTTTCAACTTTTCTCACTAAACATTTTAAGTGTGTTGTGCACTTTTTAGTTCTTATAAAAGATTGGCATTTCATTCATGTCTGCATGTATTCAGCACCACATTTTTGCTCGTCTTGAGTCTGACATTTCTGCTTATTCTACTTTGAGCTCAAGTCCAGTTGGAAGGAGATGTAACAACTCTAGGTGTAGGTTTAGGGTCACTGTCATGCTAAAAGACAAAACTCTTCCCCCAGGTCCAAGTCTTTTGCCTTTCAGTAGATTTACTTCCATCCATCTTCTCACCTTTCAGTGATAAGAGAGTCACCATGACACGATCACTGTTCATTTTCCACCACAGCATTTTGCATCTCCTTTTGAAGCACATTAGTTCCACTGGATTTCACTTAGGGGTACCACAGTAAAAGGGGATAAATATATGCACTCTACATTTTTCAGAAAATGTATTTGTAAAACATGGGGTATGAATATGGAAAATGATGTGATCATATTTAAATCGCTGCAGTGAATCAATTCTTTTTCATTCTTTTGCATCCGTGAACATGCTTGCAAAGGTCACAAGTGACTCACATTAAGTTTGTATTTAACTTTTTATGTCAGATCCTGAATAATAATCATTGGTTTCTTGTTTTTTTTTTATTTTCTGGTTGACTGTTTTTAACACTTCCAAGGATTTCATTTAAATTACAAAATTTAATTGGTTTTAGGGCTAAAACCGGCAGCAGTGACTCAGGGATATTACTGCGTCACTGCTGTCTAAGGCCATTAACAACACGTCACACATGAACTTGTTTTGCTTTTAATCTATTTGCTGATGATTAACAGTGATCTCTTTAACCATCAGATCTGTTAACAGGGTCCTAAACTCGGCAGAATTTTCTCTGCTTCTCAACAAACACATTTTATAGGAACATGGCAGACCTCCCTGTGAGGAGGATGTCCTGCAGGCAGCCTGCAAGCACATGCATCCTGCATGACGCAGATTTGCCATTTAAAGCCATGCTGGCCTTGTTTAGAGCTGGTGGAGTGGTTGGGTTCAGGCACCGCTGTTACTGATTATCGCCTGCGTTTATAGGGAGACGCACGCTCTGTGGCAGATGGACCTGAAGTTGATTATAGAGATTATTTTCATTCTTCTTCCTTTGCCTTATTAGGATTTAATTGTTTCAGAGGAACTATAATCTGTTTTGTGATGTGTCAAAGGTAGCAGTGACTACAATGTGGTGTTTTTAGTTTATAAAAGATTTTTGTCGCTCTTTTCGTCTGCAGACGATGGCCAAAGTGATTACCTCCATGCTCAAGTTTCCTCCAGACCAAGCGCAAAAGGTTTTGGATAAAGAAGACTCCAAACCAATTGTAAGTATCCCATCAGTGTAACCTGATTCTGTAGCTCTAATCTGCATTTTTATCGATAATTAATTTCATATTTGCTCCTCCACAGCCATGGCTACGATGAGATTCTGTTTGAATTGGGAACTTCATGATGAACATCTGCTGCTGAAGGGGAAGTCTGCCATGGATTATTTGAAGTCCTTCCCAATGAATAATGTCTTTTTATGTGTACGTGTGTGTAAGGTTGTGTATCTGCGTGCACACTGTAGGACATCAGTGTGTGTGGGCGTGTGCGTGTGTGTGTGAAAATCTATAAATTTATGAGGGAATAGAAACACAAATCTTCCATAATCCAGTTCTACTTCAAGATTAAGTTAAATTTATGTTTTAAATAATGTTTTTGGGTTATTTTAGGATGTGTTTATATAAAAAAAAGGCTTGTGCAATAAATAATATCAAACACTAATGCTGACAGTCACTTGATTTATATGTTCCTGTGTAGTTCCTTCGTCTGATTGGCTTCCTCTGTAAAGCTGCAAACGACCCTTTAACTGTGCACTTGTACCACATGAAGACACTGACTGGTCTTTGGACCCGGTTTGTTCAATGCAGCATTTTTTACACTTTCTATTTTGACACTAACTGAGACGCTTCAAAACTCCACAAAATGTAAATTGTAAAGAAATAAAACAATGTAACATAGAGCCATGACTTTGCTTTACATTTTGAGGCTAACAAATTAAATCTTCTCTTCAAATCAGATTTTGTCCCTTTTTTTTCATGTTTTCTAATGTACAGTAGTAGAAATTGTTAATATTAGTGTCTGTTCATATATTTTTAAAGGATTCTGACAAAGTAGTATTTAAAAGAAAAAGACAGCTGGAACATGGAGATTGCAAAAATTCTGGGTTTATTCAGTTTTTCCCCTTCTTCAGCTAAATTGTTGAAAAGTTTGCACATGAGCTCACACCAAGAAGATGAAGTCACTATTGAATATAATTCCTCTTATTTATTTGAGATTCAGTAAGTCAGCAGGTGCAGTTTTTTGCTAACTATATTGGAGAAGCAGGGAGTTTCTTCAACCAGATGTTTTTCCAAGAACTTGTCAAAACTAACAGAAGCAGAAGCTGAAAATATTCTACAGTATTAAACGGGTTTTGACAGAATTACATTTTACTCCAGGTCTGCTAGAGGCTAATATATTAGGTCTGGACTTTAATTAGACCATTCTAACGCATACATTTGATTTGAAACATGTCATAATATCTTTGAGTTTTTATGATTGTGGTTTTGGCGAAAGGTGAGCTTTGAAACTCCGGAACAACTTTTTCCTTGTGTTCCTGCTTTGTTCATTGTCTTCCATGATGCTGTTTGTTCACTAACGTTCTCTAATAAACATCTGAGGTGGTCACTGAACATCTGGATTTATACTCGGATTAAAATACGGTCCTTAAAGATGTCATCTTAAGTGGTTGAAAATATTTAGGATTATGGCAGTGAATATGGCTGTAAAAGGGGACTGTACACATACAATGCTTTGCAGATCTATCTATATATGTGTGTGTGTGTGTGTGTGTGTGTGTGTATAATTTTCCTTCACAATAATCTGCTACTTTATGTTGGTCCATCACATTAAATGAAAAATCCTTTTAAAGTTTTTGGCTGTAATATGACAATCTATAAAAAATGTGTAGCGGATTTCATAAATTCAAGCATAAAGAACAGTAGAAACTGAACATTTTTCATATTTACTCAAGACATTTTCTTAATATGCCTGCTAAAAATTGAATGCACTTGATATTATCAGATAAGCTCTTGAACAAACGCCACTGGGTGCAAAGTGAAGAATGTTTGTGTTTTTGGCCTATAGGGGGCGCCAGTAAGCGCTCGTTTTTTTTTTCTCTTGAGCTTGAACCCCAATAAAGCTCATGGGTGTAATGTGACGCTGTGCGCCTCAAAACCATTCACTTCTTTGTATGACTCCCTCCACAATTAAAAAAAAAAAAACACATTATTTCCCGTCGACACCTTCACAATAAAGTACCGCATTCATATTAGCAGTTTGGCCAATCAGTTGAGAAACTCTGACGCTTTTACTTTGAGAATTCAAAAACGCCTCTTTATTTCCAGGCTACTTCCTACGGACATGACTGCTGCATTTATCAGATCGACAGGGAGCAACAACTTCCCCAGACTGACACAGAATGGAGAGAAGCTGACGCACGTTATTTACCGGACCGTTAACTTCCCTCCTCTGGACTTTGCTTGCGCTACCGCAGAATAAATGAGGCGCTAAACGAAGCGAGATCATCTTAAAGTTCATTTGCAAAACTTGGAACCAGTGGAGATCTAAGGATATATTCATACTTTGTGTATTTTCGTAGCTTTTGGACACGTTTACCGCGTTATTACGCACGACGCGCAAAGGGATGGCTCCTCCGCTAAAACACAGAACGAGCGTGCAGCAAAGTTTTTATGTCTTTCTCTCTATTTCGCTGGCTTGCTCTTACAATATTGACTTAGAACATCCTTTGGTGTTTCAAGGACCAAGTTCTAGCTTTTTTGGCTACTCTGTGTTGGAGCATTTTCATGACAACACACGCTGGTGAGTCCCAGAGTTCCTGGAAAATATATGTATTCTATCTTAATTATGCATTGGTTTTTTTTTGATATCAAGACATGTCTTTTAAACCTTATAAATGTGAACGTCGAAGACATTTTGATGTGCTCCATGTTCCGTTTTCTTTCATCCTTTTTGGAGACGAAGTTTCGCGATGCTCTCCCCTCTCTTTATGTGTGCAGGCTCATAGTGGGCGCACCGAAGGCAAACTCTACCTACAGCAGCTCGGTGCGCTCTCCCGGAGCTGTGTTCAAGTGCCGGGTCCACAGTAACCCCGAGCGGCGCTGCACAGAGATGGACCTGGGAAGAGGTCAGTCACCGCGACGCGACCGCTGCTGCGTTTTAGCGCAACTTCTCACATCCCCACTGCCGTATCTCTGCAACGCTTGATCCTAAATGTATTTCAAGTAAAAACTGCATCTGGTGCCACACAGTCCACATATCTCTCTCTCTCTCTCTCTTCTTTATTCTTTGCATGCACTCCCCTCTCAACCATCTGCTTTGTTTTATCAGAATAAAGCCGCCTTATATTCTGCTCTTAACGACCCTCAAGTTTTGTTTTTTAGCTCTCAAAACAAAGGAGTCATGTGTGGAGAACTTCATAAATATTTTGATTTATATGATTTATGGTCTTACTAATATTTTTCAAGCACATGAGCCAAGAAAGTTGCTATTTAGCACTCCCTTCTCCTTATAAAGCCCCCATCATGCTCTATTCTTCTGGTCAAGCCGCAGAGGGTGCACGCATGGCTTTAATATTTGCTCTGCTCTCTGCCAACGTGTAACTAAAACAAAACACAGCAGACAAGCAAAAACAGTCCCAGGGAAACACTAATATGTCATAACTCTGACCTTCGTGGAAATATCGCAGAAATGACTTAACTGCTATTCTCATTGTTTCTGAAACATTTACTCAACAATGGCAGTAAAGTATAAAAAAGGGACGCATACTGTGTTGAAAAGGGGCTTAGGTTCATTTAAAATACACACGTTTGTAGTTTAAATGATAGATGAGATTGCTCCAATATTAGTTAATACTTTAGAGAACCACTTTTCACTGTAATCACAGTTGTTTGGGGTTTTAACCAGCTTTGCATTTCAAAACCTTGCTGTAATTACTTGTTAATCATTTCGGATTTAGGTCTTGACTTTGACTACACCATTCAAATACTTGAATATACTTTGTTCTAAATCAGTCCTCGGTAATTGTGGCTATACATTTTGGGTTGTTTTTCTGCTTTTAACCTACCAACCCAATCTAAAGTTTTCAGTGGTCTCTAACAATTTTTCTTCTATTTTCATGTAATTAGCGCCCTATCAATCTAGTAAGAAGGCACAAGGTATAGAGATGGTAATGTCCAGATTGTAGGCCAAAAAAATTTACTTTGGCTTCTAAACAAAAATAATAATAATAATAATTAAAAAAAAAGAAAGTAGATAACAAATACATTCTGGTGCTCCATGTGTTTTTCAGTCTGTTTGATGGACTCTGATGTTCGTCCTTCGGAAGGAAGTAGTGAGAACAGATGAAGCCCAAGATGAGAGTGATTCCTCAGAATACATATTTCCTTTCTGGTTTGTCAGAGCAGATTTCTTTGCTGGACAGTCGTGGTGTGTCATTTATCTCTCCTCCGCACCACCCACTTCAGTTCAACTAGAAAACCACTTTGTGCAGCAGCAGGTCAAAAGTTTTCCGATTACAGATACAGATCCAGGGGGTGGATAAGATTACTTTAACTTCCTGAGGAAGAAAGGAAGAAGTATGCTGGTCTTTCCTCTCCAACTGAAACATGTTTGTGCTCTTATCAGATCAATTCGAGATGAAATACCACTTATTATTTCCTTGCTTTTGGAGATATTTAATTTCTGATTACATAATAATGACACAATTTTCTTAAGTACTGAACCTCTTCCATGTTGTCCATTACCAGACCTACTATGGTGCAATATTTTTTTAGTCCTGTTACATGGTGGGTCAGTCATGAACACGTCCTTGAGGTCCGCTTCTGTTCAAAACAAGGACGAAGTTCATTCTCACTCTGTGGTCTCCAACTCTTCAAGAGCTGCAGCAATGAAAGTTTCAGACACTTCCCTGCTCCATCACAGTTTAATCAAATGATTGAATCCCCTCTTCAATGTGACATCAAATTTATTTTCACCACTGTTTGCTTGATTCAGGCATGCTGAAGCAGCGATTTAACTAAAACCTGCAGGACGAGCTCTGGTCGACTGGAGTCGGAGAGTTGGAGAGCAATCTGTCCTCAAGAACAGATTAATACTCCATTTTAGTCGAGGTCTATTGGGAATAATTGATTTGAAGGCAGAACTAAAATCAACAATTCAAATTCTAATAAAGCTTTTTCTCTGCTATACATGAATTTGTCTGTGCCTGTTATTTAGGACTTTATTTTCACAGAAAATGAAATTGAAGCCTGAGTTTTCATGCATTTGTTTCTAATATGCATTTTAACATTCTGCATATTGTTACACTTCTATTTAAATATACGTTTCTTATTGGAGATACATCACTTGTCAGTATTTCTGAAGTTTGTTTTCAGTGTCAGTGTCTCATCATCACAAGACCTCAGGTCTGACTCAGTGGTGATCTGGGGATCATGTCCTTTCTGCTTTTCTTCTCAATGCAGTTCTTCATGAGTTTGTAGCCATTCTCACGCTTTAAAATGAATGACTTATCTGATGGGAATTGGATAATGGATAAGATAGAGAAAAATCTAAACATGTGAAGCGCCCACAGCACTTTCACCAGACTTAACAATTATGGGAGCAGTTATTACTTTTAATGCTAAAGGTAATAACTGATAAGTGTTTCAAGTTTTAGGAATACAATGCATGTTATTATCTAGGGCTGGTTTTGCTTTGCAAATGTGTTTATATTTCTTCAACTTTTTCACGTTTTGTCACATTGCAACAACAGATTTCATGATATCAGATTTGTTAGATCATTTTAATCAGTCATGTTGAGGCAATTCTTTGCAGCTATAGTTTTATGAGGGGTGAATTTCTATCAGCTTCTCACATACTGGAATACTGCATCCATCTTTCCCACACATCTGACCAGCTTTCCTCTCAATCCTGAAGAAAAGCATTCCCACAGAATGATGCTGCTACCACCATGTTTCAC